TTTATTCCTGGGATGCAAGGTTGGTACAATATCCACAAATCAACTAATGTGATACATCCCATTAACAAATCCAAAGATAAAAACCATATGGTCATATCAGTAGATGCAGAAAAAGCACTCAAGAAAATCCAGAATCCATTTATGATAAAAACTCTCAGCGAAGTACTCCTCTTTCATTTCCGATTTTATTTATTTGAGTCTTCTTTTTACTTTGGTGAGTCTGGTTAAGGATTTGTCAATTTTGGAAAATCCAGAATCCATTTATGATAAAAACTCTCAGCGAAGTGGAAATATAGAGAACATACCTCACGTAATAAAGGCCATATATGACAAACCTACAGCTAACATCATACTCAATGGGGAAAGGCTAAAAGCATTTTCCTTAAGATCAGGAACGAGACACAGATGCCCACTTTCACCACTGTATTGCTTTTCTAGATTATTTCGTTTATTTCCGCTCTGATCTTTATTTCCTTCCTTCTACTCACTTTGGGTTTGTTTTCTGTTCTTCTTCTAGTTCTTTTAAGTGTAAAGTTAGATTGTTTTTTGAGCTTTTTCTTGTTTCTTGAGGTTCTATATTGCTATGAATTTCCTCTTTTAGGACTGTTTTCACTGTGTCTAATAGATTTTGAGTCATTGTGTGTTCATTTTCATTTGTCTCTACATATCTTTTGATTTCTTCCTTGATCTCATTCATTGTTTAGTAGCATGTTATTTGCTCTCCCTGTGTCTGTGTATTTTCTAGTTTTTTCTTATAGTAGATTTCTAGTTTCATACCATTATGATTGGAGGAGACAGTTGATATGATTTCAGCCTGAAATTTATTGATGCTTATTTTGTGTCCTAACATATGATCTATCCTGGAAAATGTTCCATGTGCACTTTAACTTTTCAAAAGGTACTTCTAAACTGTTTTCCAAAGTGCCTCCACTGTTTTACGTTCCCCCAGTAATGTATAAGTGTTCTAATTTCTTCACATCCAACATTTTTATTGCTTTTTTGATTATAGCTATTCTGGTGGATATGAAGTGGTATCTCACTGTGGTTCTAATTTGCATTTCCCTAATAACTAATGATGTTGAAGATCTTTTCATATGGTATTAACCATTTGTAGCTCTTACTTGATGAAATACTAACTCAAATCTTCTGTCCATTTTTTTAATTAGGTGATTTGTCTCTTATGATTGACTTTTAAGTGTTATTTATATATTCTGGATACAAGTCCTTTATCGAGTATGTGATTTGCAAATGTTTTCTCCCAGTCAGAGGCTTGAGTTTTTATATAATGATGTCTTTTAATTTTCTTAAGTACAGAGTTTTTCATTTTTATGAAGTCTAATTTATCAATGTTTTCTTTTATGGATCATACTTTTGTTGATATATCTAAAACACTTTGTCTAACTCAAGGTCATGGAGACTTTCTTCTATGTTTTCTTCTAAAAGTTTTATAACTTTAGCTCTTCCATTTAGATTCGTGTGATCCAATTAACTTTGTGTATGGTGTGAAGAGTATAAATTAATCTTCTTGCATGTGGGTATCCAGCTGTCCCAACACCCTTTGTTAAAAAGACTATCCTTTCCTTATTGAAATGCCTTGGCACTTTTGTCAAAAATCAACTGACCATGTATATAAAGGTTTATCCCTGAACTCTCATTTCTGTACCTTTGATCTATACATCTATCCTGTGTCCCTACCACACTGTCTTGATTGCCATAGCTTTGTAAGATGTTTTGAAATAAGGAACTATGAGTCCTCCAACTTTATTCTTCTTTTTAAAGAATGTTTTGACTATTGTTGACCCCACATTTCCATATAAATTTTAGAATCATCTTGTCAATTTCTGCACACACACAAAAAAGTGTGCTGGGATTTTGATAGGGATTATATTTAATCTGCGGATCAACTTGGGTGGAATTGCCACCTTAACAATATTGTGTCTTCCAAGCCATGAATATGGAATGTCTTTCCGTTTATTTAAATTTTCTTTAATCTCTCTCAAAAATGTTTTGTAGTTTTCAATGTACAAGTCTTGTGCTACTTTCGTTAAATTTATCCCTAAGCATATATGTCTTTTTGATGTTATTGTGAGTTTTTTTATTAGGAATTTTTTAAACTTATTTTTTGAATAGTCCACTACTGCTATACAAAAATACAATTGATTTTCATATATTGATCTTTTATCTTATGAATTTGTCCAATTTGTTTATTAGTTTTAATAACAACAAATTAGTAGTTGTTTTGTGGAATCTTTAAGATTCTCTTAGTATAGGATCATGCCATTTGTGAATAAACATAGTTTTACTTCTTCTTCTTCCATATGAATGCTATTTATTTCCTTTTCTTGTCTGATACAGAATTTAAGAGCTAAAACTCATTAATGTCCTGGTAAATTTCCATGATTACACTTATAATATAGATGAGGGGACTATAGCCATCTTTTGTAATACCAACTGAAGTTTATAGGGGCAGAGGGCAGAACTGGTCACTGCCTTAGCAGAGGAATAAAATGCCACTTTGCGTAGACTTGTGGTTCATTATTTTCCTGTTAGTGGTTGGTTCTTTAGCAACCTGGCTGAAGCAGACATTAAACCCAGTGAAACAAGCATGGAAGAGCTCTGAGTAGACAAAGATAGATGCCACACATCCTCCAAGCTCATTTATGTAACCCCCTGGAAAATCTCTGTTCTATACAGAACTTCATCTCCAAGTCTACATGTTGTTTTAACATGCATGGGTGCTTGGTTTTCTAGTGTTGGTTTGGTTTGGTTTGGTTTGGTTTGGTTTGGTTAAAAAACTATGCTTTAGGAAATATATTGGAGAAGAGACAAACCAGGAGACAAAGGACACTAAAAAGTGAAAAGATGGTTCTAACAGTGAGGGAAGAAATGGAAAAAACATTAAACATTCTATATATATATTTCCTGGACACCTATTAATGCAAGCCTTGAGCTCAAGACCTTAAAAGCACCGCTGGCAAGCCAACTGAAGGCAGCTTCCCAGTCTTGGTAGGCTATAAGGGCATTGGCCAAGCAAGCCAAAACCCCAGTGACTCCATCTGTTTCTTTTGTGGCTAATGAATCAGATTCAAGTGCAATTCTTTATAATTTTCCTTATGAAACTCTAGCTTGTTAGAGTCAACCCATTATTCTAGTCTTTGAGAATCTCTTTGGATTCTGATTCTGGTTTCTGAGCTAAAGATTAATAACTAAGCTGAACAGTGATTTCTCGCAGTGGTATCCCTGTGTCCTCACAAAGGTTAAATCTATTTCACTGCAGAATGAAAGCATTAGCTCCCATAGCTTCTTAAAAAGATCCTAATCAAGGAATATCAGAAAAAGGCATGCAAAATAAAAACCCCCCATCCAGCCAGGCTTCTCACTGTTGGAGTGGAAATTTATAGATAAGAAGCAATAAATAAAGTAGCATTGGAATATAACTCAAAGTATGAGATAAATATTCATAATTTCATACTGATATAAATTAACAAATGGAGGAGAAATAAAAACCCCGATGCAGAATTCCAAATAATTGATGTAAATATTCCATTCTTAAGGAAGAATATCCCCCAATTTCGTAGATATGGGCTGTGTAATAGTGAGTGTCTTCCAAAGAAAGGGGTATAAAAGGGGAGGGGAGTGACTGCATAATGGAGACACCTGACAAACACTACTTCAGCCTTGTGATCAAGGTCAAATCAATAGTCATAAATCATGATATTATATGATGAAAATGACTCTTTACCTCTGTGATCTCCCAAGAACCCATAAAGTCAGTCTTATTATGAGAAAAACACCAAACAAATTTCAATAATAGAGCATGCTACAAAATAGCTCAGTACTCCCCTCAAAATATCAAGGTCATCAAAATCAAGGAAATTTGGATAAACTGCCCAGTTAAGAGGAGCCCAAAGAGACAGAGCAACTAAGTGTAATGCGGTATCCTGAAAAGGATCCTGGAACAGAAAAAAGACATTAGGTAAAAACTAAGGAAATGTGAATAACATGTGGAATTCAGTTAATAATAATGTATTAATATATTAGCTCATTAATTGTAACAAATGTTCCATACTAATGTTAGATGTTAATTATAGGGGAAACTGAGTGTGGGGTACATGGGAATGCTCAGTACTATCTTTTCGATTTCTCTATAAATCTAAAATTGTTCTACAAAAGTCTATTTAAAAGAAACCTTAACGTCACTACCAATTTTGAAAAACTTTAAAGGCTTAGCATCAATTATCTGGAAAATTTATTTGTGAGAAAACCTTATTTCTTTATGATGATGGATAAGTGAAGCATTGTTGAATTATCTCTGCATCTCTGAGCAAGTTAATGTTTCTAAGAGGAGAAAGTGTGGGGGATGGAAAGTAGGAGAAAGAAAATGCATGTGTGTGTATGTGTGTGTATGTGTGTGTATGGTTAAACAAGAGGAAAAAGTGAATCCTAAATTGTTAAAAGCCTGGAGTGGGACTTAATCTAATTTATAAGCAGTTCCACTAGAGATGTACGAGTATTTTGTTGTTGTTGTTATTAAAGAGAAAAACTAGTTTCAAGCATTATTACGCATTTTTTCCCCTCCCAGAAGCTAAGAAAACCATCTGTGAAAACCTGTTTGCATGTTTGTTTTCTACAATAAAATGCAAAATACTTCTTCCTGTTAGCAGATTATACCATATGCCTTTCCCTGTAACAAAATCAGCATGTTTATTAATGAACCCAATCAGAGGCAAAGATTTAGAAAGATTTAAGGAATTGAATTTTCCATTCAATATTTCAGCAAAAGGAAATTCTGATTAGACATCGTTGTTGTGCTTGGAAAATATAAGCTTTGTTTTTGCTTTGAAATCAACTTACTTGGCAGGGGACAGAGAGCAGGAGGAGAAGCCTTTGAAATTTTTTTTGTAAAAAAAATCTGCATTTAAGAATGGCCCTTCCTGTCTGATGATTTCCCTACTAATTTATCCACAGTTTATATGTGATTAATATTTAATTTGATCAGTTTCATTTTTTTCCATACAGACTAATTAAAGTGCCTGATGGCCCAAATCCCCCATATCTGAATGCAGTTAGAAGCCTGTGGGCTTCCTGGAGTGAAAGGAAGCGGATGAAGTAGTGTCAGCCATACTGGCAAAGCAGCCCATGGTACCCGTAATGGGAACATCTGAGCGTTCCAGTGCCAACCCTCACTGGCAGTCCCGTTGACCACCTGAATAGTCAAGAGGCTTGGTGGCACTGGGTGCATTAGAAAGAAAGTCCGACCTACCACCTGCAGGACAGCAGCTCAAGTGCCAAGCACCAAACCAACCGAGTGGCCTGGAGCAAATGACTCTCCGTAGGCCCCAGTTTGCTCACCTGATAAATGAGGGTATCAGCTCTGTCATTCTTTTATTTCCAAGCTTGCGGAAAAATGGAATGTGGCACTAGAGACTGTAAGTGATAGAAGTCTTGAAAACCAGACACAGGGCAGATTTTAGGATAGATGTTCTGCTCTGGTCATTCAGCCTCCATTCAAGTCTTCTTTCTATTCCATGGTGTAGACAGAGCCTCGCAAACATGGATCTCATTTTATTGCGTTCATTTTTCATCTGCTGTAGCTTCTTAGAACCCTTACAAGAAAATGAAACACATTACCAAGGGCACAACTTAAAGGGGGAAAGTGATTGATGAGCCCTTGGAAGGGCAAGGGCGGGCTGTGGAGCCACCATAAGCTGAGCCAGAGTAACCCCTTTACCTTCTTCACAGGATCTTTTGACAGCATTTTTGTGCTGTAGTCATGATACATACGGATCTCAACAAGGCAGCTAACCAAGTGTCAACTCTGTCCTTGTAGGCAATACAGAAAAGTGTCTTCTTGTTCTAATGAGCTAGAGCAAATGAGAACAAGGAGGCAGTTTGGGCAACTTTGGTAACTATAGAAAGAAGCATTTTAAATTTGAGTAAATGGGCTGGGGCAGAGAAGGTAGGGCTAAATATTTACAAGCTAATGATTTTTGAAAAGGATATCAAAGATTGTATGAAGATTCCTCATAAAAGGACCTTTTGACTGTTCAGCCACCCTATCTCTAGAGCAGATACTTATCAATAGCCCCCAACCCAACCAAGTCCCCCGAACACCCTGCCATCCAAGGAAAAATACATACACACCAATAAAACACATGTCCTCGAGGATTCTTTGGCCCCTGGATACTCTGGTACCTCCTCAGATTTTTCTTACTGCTGTGGCTTCCTCTCACTAGAGGAGCTGGCCTGGAGGTAAAGAGGTAAATGAGATAGACAAGAGGTGAAATAGACAAGAGGTTGAAAGTGTATGGTTGGAATAGCACAGTCTTCCCTAGTCACAAACCAGTCGAAACCAAGAACCTGCTGGAGGAAACATTCCTGTGAGTTCATTGGAGGGGGATTTCCATTCTTCCGAGGAGTGATAAAAAGTATATCTGGAGAAAATGGTTCCATGGACAAATAAGTTGAGGAAATCCTGGGTTAAATAAAGTTAGACATTTGCTTTCATTGGTAGGTTGTGTTGACTGCAGAACTTCTCAGAGGCTTAAGTATTCTAAAACATATTTTGTGAATATTTCAGAAAAAGATATGGTACTGAGTATTTTGACTTGGAAGCCTTTGCCCACAGAGTATATCCTTAGACCTGGAACCCTGCCACAGTGGCCTGTCTCTTGTTACTTTTTTCATAAGCTCTGGACCCAAACTGCCAACTTCTCACCATGTATCTCTGTGTAAGTATCTGCAACTTAACACTAGTACATCTGACATTTTACCATTCCGCATACACCATGCTCCTCCTTAACTGTATGCCATTTTGAGTGCTGCTGGTGAACTCCTGCCCATCCTTCAAAACCCAACTCAAATGTGTCCTTCTCGCTTACTTCCTCCCAGTGCTCTCCAAGAACATCTCTACATCTAATGTGTCACAACTCACACTGGCATTGTGGTTTTCGGTGTGGGTTTTGTGAAGTCGAGGACTGTGCCTTATCTGTGTTTAAATCCTCATCATTGAGCAGAGTGCAGGGCACTTGGCGAGTCTGTGAAGCTGGATGCATATCTTTCGTTCTAGTCAGGCCTGTGCAGCGGAGGGGAGTCTCATCTTTATTGCCACATCTGGCTTTACACCGGAGGCCTAAACCTGCCGGATGCAGTTTTGTTCTTTTCCCTGCTGGTTAGGGCTTTCAGGCACCCAAAAGCTGAAGACCCTCAGAGACTCCAGAGGAGGCCACAGGGGCCTCTGGCTGCAGCCACCCCTTGGTTCTCAGCCAGCCAGTGCTCCCAGCCCACAGCCTAGACTGGAGGAGGTGAGCAGGAGGCCCAACTTCTCCTATCCAGCTTGGCCGAGTCATGTTGATATTCTGGCGGCATAGCTGGGCTTGTTATTGAGCACATGCTTTGCAGATTAGCCTGTTTGTATAGCCAATCGAACATGTGCTCCATTAAAAATTAAAGCATCCTGTTTTAAGGATGGAGCAGGAGACATCAGCTGCCACTGTGTAGCAGACATGCAAAGCCCCAGAGCCCATTACCATAGGTTACAGCAAATGTTAATCAGTGCCAGCGCAGTTAAATAATGCAGTTTGTGCAGATGGCAGCTACTACATCTCCTCACAGATGTGTCCTCAAGTCCCGGAGGTTGCTGTATCACAGGAGTTGTCGGGAGCAGTCAGATCTGATGCTGACTGTCAGTATCACCTTTTGTGTTTGTGCTCATCCACCAGCCAGCTGAGAGGCGATGATCAGGATGACTCCAGGCCCTGTTTCCAGCAGCCCCTCCAGAAGCTGGAGCAGAGTGCACGTGAGGCTCACAGGAAAGCAGGACTATTTTGCTAAGTAGCCAAGAACACCCAAAGTAAAGTTCTGCGTCTGTTCCATGCAACCTTCCCCAGCTGCACCCTGTGAGAGGCGTCCAAGCCAGGTGGAGGGGGAGTGTTCTCACCTTCACACTTTACTGCGCTCTGGTTGTTGGCGGGCAAGAATTATATATGTTCTTCCCTGGCTTGGAACACCATGCTGGGTCGGGAGGCGGAGTTCCCATAGTTCCTGCTGTACAGACGGTGCCTGATTCTAAGCAGCAATACGTTGTCCCCAAAGCCCAGGCACTTGGTTCTCTGGTCCAGGTGTCCCTATCCTTGGGACCCTGAGAAGACATTGTATGTAAAGTTAAGTAACAAATCACCACTTGTGCTGCAAGCAGTATGAAGCAACCAGTCATAGCAAGAAAAGACCAAACTGTTTCAAACTGACCAGCTCTTCACTCTCCCTGGAGCCCTTCACTAGAGGCTTTTTCCTTTTTTGTGGGGAGGATGGGGAGACGGGCCTTCTGTGAAATACACCATTGACATTCACACATTCACCCCTGGGAGCATTACATTTCATCATTGTCAGTAACGGGTACAATTACTGAGCCAATAATGGTAATCCTCTGTTATCAAGAGAAGATGAAATTAAGCTCAGGGTAATCAAGTATAGGACATTTTTAAATAGAGAAGCAGGAAAGATTCTTTTGAGATAGTTAAATATTTTATTTAAAGCTTCAAGCTTCAGCTTTCTGAAAAATACACTCCTGTCATATTTCCTGAATGTCGTAATATTCCTGAATATTATCAAATGTTATCGAAAATGTAATGTGGAGGAAAATAGTAAAAGAATTTATTCATCTTATTTTCTTTCCAGATTCGTCCAACTATGCTGTATCTTCATTCCTAGGTGTAACAAACTGCATGTTGCGAATGTAATGCGTTGCTGCCTAAGTGTGCATGTGGAAATGAGGGACAGGAACGAGGGTCTTTTTGCTTTCTTCGACCTAAGTATAGATACGTTGTTCCTCCTTCATCATAGAAAATGCTACTTTGAAAGCCATGCATCAGATGATATCACTTCTGCCCTTTCTTACCTACCATCCTCTCCCTCATTTGTTGAAGATTTTAGCATCTGACATGCCCCTTCTTTCCATTGAGACTCAGCATTCACATGACAACCCGTCAGAGCCTCTGGCCTCTCAATTCTTGACCTCCTTGCTTCCACCTCAGCCTCCCATTGCCCATCGTCATGCTCTTCATCTTGTCACTACCAGTAACAATACCAATTTTAAAATCGTGATTCCCAAATCATTGGAGGCAAGGAGATCAAGAAACCGAGAGTCCAGACCTTCCATTGTCTTCTCACATTTAGAACAAAGGTCCTCCCCAGAGTCTGGCACCTACCTACTGCTCAACTTCATTGCCCAACAGTCCACTCAGCCACCTGGCCTGTGGTTTGTCCTTCCAACGAGCTGAGCCAGTGTGCACCTCAGAGGTTTGTTCCATTTGTGAATTCTCTACCCTCTTATCGTGTCACTTGGCTTGTTCCCTCACTTCATTTGGGTCACTCTCTTTAAATGCCATCTCGGGAAGCCTTTCCTGACTGTATAAAAACAGCAGTGCTCCCACCCTCCAAGTCGCCTGTGTCTCCTTATCCTGCTTTGCTTTTCTTCATAGCACTTAGCCAACATTTACACACACACACACACACATACACACACACACACACACATGCATGCACATTCATTCCCTTATCCATTGACTGTCTCCTCCATTGGAAGACAGGGATTGGGCCTCTTGTGTTTACCACTATACTCCATGCACTTTTAATGGTCTTTTTTTTTAGAGAATTAATTAGTTGAATGGTCGAATGAATGAAAGAATATGTTTGGGCTGGAAGCAAATTTTGGAGGTGAGGTTTCAAGAAGACAGGGTCATTTATAAAGCTTTCTAGTAAACTTTCTATCAAAAACATTTTTTTCAACTATTAACACTTTATAAATGAGCAAATTTCACTTCCTAGAAGGTGCCCTTAGGTGCCAAGAATTTGGGAAAGCAAAATAATTTATTTTCCTAATACTTTGTGAAATCTAGACTATTTCAAGCTGTGAGACTCTTAGGGCTAGCCTTAAAAGTTCCCCCATCCTATTTTACTTCACTAGCAAGTTTCTTTCTTTCTTTTTTTTTTTCCCAATGAAAACAAATCTTATTTTTAACTTCTGATTTGAGAACTAGAACAAGGTTTTGTAATCAATCCCACACCAGGCAAATACAGTTGATGCATTTAAGCGGATTAGGTTATAACTTGAAAGCAGCAGAATCAGACAGGGGCTTGAAAGTGTAGCTTAAAGCGCCAGCCGTGTCAAAGGGACCCCCTCTCTGAAGTACTATAGCATTGGTCCCTGTTACTTAGACAAATCCAACTCTAAAAAGTTTTGACAGTTTGTGTCTGTGAGCAAAAGTGAGATAAAATGGTTCTTCTTCACTACCCTGATTTGGAAGAAAAGTTCCAAACCAGAGTGAGATTGTCATTGTCATGTAGTAATTTAATCTTCCTTTGGTCTTTATTCTCCCTTTCTAAATCTTAGCATATGAGACCATAGGTTCCCTCTTAAAATTTTCCATTTGGCTTCTTTCTTGTTTTACCAATAAGAGCTTAATTCCTCCTCTCCACCAGTTCATCACCAAGGCACTTGCTCTGAAGATTGTGTATGCCTCTGTGCCAGTTGTGATATTTTGGGCTGCAAGTAACAGAATTTCTAACCAAAAGTGGCCGTAAAAAAGGGATATTTAGTTAATTATCTCACAAAATGAGACATCCAGAGGTAGCCAGGTGAGTGCTGGACTGGCTTCTCTAAGAGTCTCTTGGCTTTACCTTCTGTTGATATGATGGCTGCCACAGCTACAAGCATTGTGTCTCCAACTCATGCCCATGGAAGGAAAGAAGGAAGGAAGGAGATAGACTTAGTCCTTCACCGTGTGTTTCTTTTTATTAGAAAGGACCTTTCCAGAGGTCCTGCAGGGACTTCCCCTTACATCTCATTAATGATTCATCTAGAACTGGGTCACATGTCTACCAGAACTAGTCACGAGCATGTACAGATTAGCTTAGACCACTTCAGCGTGTCCTGGGCTGGGCACATGACTGATACCTGAACAAAGCTGGGGTTTTCTCATAACAGAGAAGGGACAAGCTGCTGGGAGATCACCGTCTCTGCTGTACATTGTCTTCTACAGCAATGCAGCCTGTCATTTCTACTGGGAAAAACTCATTCCAAGTGGAGTAGTAGATTAGCTTGGTGTCTGTTTTGATAGGCTAGAATAGTATAAAGCATTTAGAAGTGATCTTAAAACACTTGCTCATTTATGTCAGCACGGGTTATTTATATACCTCTAGGATAGCACTTAGTACACAGCGTCATGATTCCATGTCTTCATGTCACCAGGGGCCTCTGATTTCTACTTTGTGTTCAGAGCATACAGAACGGTGCCTGCAACTTAAAAGAGGTGGAGATTCACTCAGTTTTTGCCGAATGAGTGAACAAATGAATGAATAAATGATTGAATGAATGAATGAATAAGCAAATGATGAGTAGGACATTCTTGAAGTCATGTTTACGAAAAACAGTTGAAATAATTATAAATGTTTACCTGGAGAATGAATGAATGAATGAATGAACATGCAAATGAATAAGGAAATGATGAATGAGATGTATTTGAAGCTGTGGCCTATGAACTGTTAAATGACGATAAATTGTTTACCTGGACAACAGATTTGAGGAATACAATGACTTTTTAAAATAAAGTGCTTGAAATTCTTTCAAGTGAAAGAGATTACAACCGCTTTGTGGCTTCTCTAAGGATAGAGCTTGGGAAAGCGAGTTGAAACTACAAGGAGACAGAAAATTCTTTCTTGTATTGAGCTAAAATCTAAAAGTAGAGCTATGTGAAGTTGAAATTAACTGCCTCAGGAAAGAAGGAGCACACCATCACTAAGCACAGAGTGACTAGGCGCCTGGCAGGTTATTGTAAACGGGGGTCCATTTATCATTGAAGATTGAACCAAATGATGCTTATTCTCTGTTGTATCTGTGGGCACTCCCCAGCAGCGATGGGATTCTCTGAAATTTTAAGAAAAAACTCTACATTTTAAGTGTTGAAGACAATTCAGTAGTTATTTCCAAAGAAATAGGAGATTTTATAATGCTGCGAAACATCTTTGAGTAATCCCACCTGTATTTATTATTCCCAATCATATGCGCTATTCTGTTGGGCTCAGTTTTTTGATAGGAGGAATTCTTTAAGAAGAAAAAGATGTTAGATCTCATTGGTTTTGTCTGTCTTAATGGGGCCTGTTTCTAACTTCAGTACATTATCTACTTTATGTTTTCTTTAGGTTCACCTTGTGTACTCTTGACATATTTGGGTAGAGAATGAAGAGAAGTGCTCAGCCTCAGGGGGTGGGGGCATGGCCTAGGGTCCACATGGACTGTCTCACTGCAGAACTGAAAGTCAGAGAAAAGAGATGGAAAATGAGAAACTGGGGGGCATCATTCGTTCTTGTAATTATAGTGAGGAAGTGTACTGCATATGTATGTTCCCTCAGTAAAACAGGTGTTCTGCCCTTAAAATGGTAATTACAGCCTATTTCAGATCAATGATCTTCACTTATTTCATATCACTGCAGCATTTTTTCCACGTTCAACCACCCTGTGATATAGAAAGCTTGCTCACCCTTGAAAAAATCAAAATGCATATAGATTTTCTGAAATAAGCCCCCTTTCTGGAAGTATTTTGTGGTTAGTTTCAAAATGTAATATCCTGAGGAAGGTTTAGGTTGGCTTTTTATTTTAATGCAAAATAAAAAGTAAGTCACTGTGCAATGAGTGATTTTACTTCCATTAGCCTAATGTCTTTGTGGTTTCATTTGAGGTCACTACTAGATTATTTTTCTTGCATTATTTCATCAGCTGTCAGTTCTATTAATATAATGTAATTCATTCAGTGCTGAGATTTTTTAAAAGACATCACTGTAAGCGTAGAAGGCAGTTTTTTAGGAAGTTTATTTAGATGATTGTAGGGTGTCAGACTGCCTCCATCTTCTTCATGCTCAGTGTCTGAAGGGTCACTTACAGATTGCACATGCTCTTGGATGCTCAAGTGGTTATTCATGATTGTGTTTTTATACCCAGCACATAAAAATATATCTGCAGCTTCTCTATTATCATCTTTTGAAAGACTGTGGCTTGCCTGTGGGGTGTACAATTGTGTTCACTACTTAGATTATAGGATACCTGATATATCTTTTATTTAACACTATCAGTAACCCTTTTAAGGA